TGTAAAATAGGTGTGAATGGTAGATTTGAATAGGAGAAAACAGGTCAGCTCTTCTGATAGTGAAATTAATAAAACAAACAAAACGTGTTCGGAGGAAGGGTCACTGGACCCAAAACGTTAACTCTGACTTTTTCTTCACAGGTGCTGCCAGACCTGCTGAGCTTTTCCAGCAACTTCTGTTTTTGTTCAAAACGTGTATGTGTTTGGTTGAGGGTGAAGTTGGGGGAGGTGAAGAGTCAAAGTGGAGAACAGTGCTCATGGTCTGAAGTATTCAAACACGCTACTGAGTCCTGAAGGCAGTACAGTGCCTACGCACATGATGAGTTGCTGTTCCTCCAGCTTGTGTGAGCTTTGCTGGAACATTGCAGCAGGCCTAGGATGAATTGGTTGGCATAGGAACAAGATGAACATAGGAGCAACATTGAAATGGCAAGCAACGGTAAGGTTGGGATCATTCTTACAGACAGAGCAGCAATGTTCCACAAAGTTAAAATGGTGGACAATGTTTATGTTCTGAAGATGACGTACTCACTGTCGAGTCATGAATGCTGTAGTGCATAAGCAGAAAAAGTGAAGGCGAGGAAATGAGGGTAGAAATGCAGGAACTGAATCAGACAAGGGTGAAAGCCCTGTTAACCACAGTGGGGAGTGATCCTTGGTTGAGGAACAAGGAAGCTTTGTCAGAAACTCCCCTTTCGAAGCCCCACCACTCTCCATCATTGGAACATTTGCAACAGGTGGAGAAGAGAGAAGAATGAAGTTGAGTCCTTACCAGAAGCAGGGTGTGAGAAAGTTTAGATGAGTTAACTGTGGGAATAGATATTTGGTGGGCAGCCTATCTCCAGAAATGGAAGCATAGAAATGAAGGAATGGAAAAGTCAAATGCAACCTAGGTGAAGATGAGAGAAGGATGAAAATTGGAAGGAAAAATGATGAATCTTTCCGAATCTGGACAAGCAGGAAACAAGACCGATAATGTCATTGATGAAAGTGGGCAATGTTCCACTTAGTTCAAAAGAGACAAGCATGTCTGGGACTCGGGCAATTGTCCATAAGTCCCAGCTTTTACTTAGAGAAAGTGAGATGAGTTCAAAGAGAAAATTGTTCAAAGTGAGAATGCACTCAACCAGGTGAAGGAAGGCAATTGTGGATGAGCACTGTTGAGGCCTTCTTTCAAGGAAGAAGCAAAGAGCCTTCAGACCTAATGTGGGTTGGACATGTAATGGGATTGTATGTCTATTGCGAAGACGAAGCAGCTGGGAGAAGGAAACCTATGGAAAGCATCAGCAGTATCAGTATCAGAAGTGCAAATGGGAAGAAACTGCATGAGGGGAGAAAAAAGTGTCAAGATGGGAAGAAATGAGTTCAGTGGGGCAAATTGCTTGTATGAAGCTAATGCTTCCTTATTGAATAATGACAAGCTGTGATTTTATAGTCGGCATTGGGGATAAGGTAGCGCTGACTTAGTGCGTGTTCTGATGAAATGTAGCTACAGACAGATGGAAGTGTGTGGTGTGGTGGCTAACCAGTGACTAGGGTGATAGTATGAGATTTTATGTATATGGGAGTGTCACCCATGTTGCTACATGCTGTGGGTCACATAGCTTTGTGTCTGCTGTAGCACAATGTTATCAGTGAGGAGCAAAACTGGATTGGCAACATTTTTCCAGATACACAGCTTCTTTACAAAGATGGCATTGCTGCAAGGTGTGCTTGTCTATTGCAGGATATCAGCTGAGTGGTGAATTGTTCCGGGATTGCATGTGGTAAGATGGAGCCAGAATTAGACTTGGCAGATGCGAGAGAGTGGGATAGTTTGGGAAGATACAGCAAGTAACCTTGTCAGGCCTCGTGGAGGAAATACCTCCAAAACACTGTTTGGAATTTGGATAAGCTAAAAAAAAACAGTAAAATTCAGCCCCATGATCCTACACTCTGATCACATTGTTATGTGGTCTACATTTTGATGCCTTTGTTAAAGTCATAAAGCATCATCAAATTGATCTAAGTGGACACCAGGCTTTTTCTCGACTAGTGCTTTCAATGTGTGGTTCTCTTTCCTGAAGGTTCCTTCACACGACAATGTAAGTCCCCACCTTCAGAGAACATAGAACTGTACAGCACAGGAATGGGCCCTTCAGCCCACAATGTTCTGCCGAACATGATGCTATATTAAACTAATCCCTTCTGCCTGCCCTTGATCCATATCCCTCCATTCTTTGCAGGTATGACTATTCTTGTCTGAGCCCACATAAATAATTTCAACCATATAGGATTATAATAATAATATAGTAGCATAATAATAATAATTTAGAATCACAGTTAAATTTAGTAGTTTTCCCATCTGAAGTCTGTGTGTTTTTGTTAGTAGGCACCTAATAGTAATCAAGTGGGGGCAATCCTGATTAACTTTATCCCTGCTATAAGCTCATAACAGTGAAATAAGTTTATAGGTTTCAATGTCTGTCCTGGTCACTATAACTTGACTCAAAAGTTAGTTGTTCAGGGAATTCTTTTAATGTACAGAGTTTTAATTGTGTGCCTGCTGAAGCTTTAATTTCTGAAAAACGGACTTTTTTTTAACAGTTATTTCAATTGGGGCACGTTAACTTCTCGGATTTGATAGGTCTATGCAATCCTCATTAAAAATATAGAGCCGCAGCACATTTGAGTTCCAATCATAGTTGAACTTGTAGAGATTCAAAGTGGATGGTATTTTAGATGAAACATTATCTTTTAGGATAATTTTGATGAGCTCCTGAAACTAGGTCAGGTTTTAAAATAAATCTGCTTTACTGTATCAGGTAAGATGGACCAGTGTGTGAGCCAGGCTCATTTGGCTCAGATTATGACAACCTGAATTTCTGACAATGTGGAAGTTTTTGAGGATGTTCAGGTAGCATGGAGAAGTTGACCTAAGACCCATAAAAACATGATTTACCATTTTGACAGTAAAAGGACAATGTGTGGTAAAGCAAGCAATGTCCAGTGAAAATAATTAGTACATCAGGGTAATTCAACATTGATTATAATCCACTTAGGGAGAAGGTATTCTGATTTAAAAACTCTGAGGAAGGTAATGGGAAACAAACTTAACTATTCTTTGCTGGTAAATATATGTGAGACTTGAGTTAGGACCTGTGCTAGAGAAGAACACATTGGGTAGCTGGAGGAATGTAAAAGGAGATATCAGCGACTGGTCCGGATGGAGTCCCCAGCCCGGCTGTCAGATCCTGTGCAGTCCAGCTTGCGAAGCATTCGCAGACATCTTTGAATTCTCCTTACTCCGAACTGGGGTTCAAATTTGTATTAGCTTTATTATTGAGTTGGCTTTATTGTCACATGTACTTAAATGAGTACAGTGAAAAGTTTATAAGTCACCACTTACAGTGCCATCATAGGTACAAAGGTGGCTAGATGCAATCCTTAGTTACAGAATAGGGAAACTAAGAAGAAAAAGTTACATTACAGCTATATATGGATAACCATAGGTCAGAAGAATAAGAAGCAAAGTTAAAAACACAAACATCACAGCAGGTTCCCACCTGCTTCAGGAATACCACCATCATCCTGGTGCCAAAGAAAAAATCAGGCAGTGTGTCTGAATGACTGCCGCCCAATGGCTCTGACATCCATCACTGTGAAGTGCTTCGAGAGGTTAGTAATGGCACACATCAGCTCCAGCCTCCCAGATTGCCTTGATCCACTGCAATTTGCCTACTGTTGCAACACGTCCACAGCAGATGCCATATTTCTGGCCCTACACTCATCCCTGAACATCTGGATAACAAGTTTACGTACGTTAGACTCCTATTCATTGACCTTCGCTCTGCCTTTAGCACCATAAGTACACCCAAACTCCTCTCCAAACTCCGAGACTTAAGACTCTGCTTCCCCCTCTGCAACTGGATCCTTGACTTCCTGACCCGCAGACCACAATGAGTAAGGCTAGTTGACAACACCTCCTCCACAATTATCCTCAACACCGGTGCCCTGTAAGGCTGCATTCTTAGTCCCTTACTATTCTCCTTACACACTCACGACTGTGTGGCCAAGTTCTGCTCTCACACCATGTACAAATTTGCTGATGACACCATCGTAGTGGATTGGATCTCAAATGCCAACGAGACAGAGTAGAAGAAAGAGATAGAAAGCTTAGTGGCATGGTGTAAAGACAACAATCTCTCCCACAATGTCAGCAAAACGAAGGAGCTGGTCATCGACTTCAGTAAGCGGATTCAAGGTCATGCCCCTGTCTATCAATGGTGCTGAGGTGGAGTTGGTCGAGAGCTTCCACTTCCTAGGAGTAAATATACTCTACTTCCTCAGAAGGCTAAGGAAATCCAGCATGTCTGCAATGACTCTTATCAATTTTTATAGATGCACCATAGAAAGCATCTTGTCCGAATCCATCACAGCTCAATATTGCAACTGCTGTTCCCAAGACCGCAATTACTGAGAGTTGTGAATGCTGCCCCTTCCATCTCGCAAACCAACTTTCATTCCATCAACTGTGTCTGTACTTTCCGCTGCCTTGGGAAAGCAGCCAGCATTATCAAAAACCCCTCCTAACCTGGTTATACTGTCTTTCACCCTCTTTCATCAGACAGAAGAAAAAAGTTTGAAAACATGTACCAACAAGATTCAAGAACAGCTTCTTCCCTGCTGTTACCAGACTTTTGAACGGTTCTCTCAAATTTTAAAGTTGATCTTTCTCTGTAACATTACACTGTATTCTGTTCTAATACCTTAATGTACTTATGTAAGGTACGATTTGCCTGGATAGCATACAAAGCAATACTTTTCACTATCTCGATACATGTGCCAATAATAAATCAAATTAAATCAAAGTTTTTGAGTACTATATTTACAAATAATTGCTGTTGTTATGAGCAAGACTGTAAATATAATTTCACAGAATAGTTGACGTCTGGAAAGTAAGTTTTATCAATTGAGTTTTGAATATTAATCTGCATTTTCCATTGTAATTTCCCTCCCCATAAACCTTAGAGAAAACCTGCAGTTCTTAAAGGAATTCCCCTCGGCTCGTGCACATCAAAATGGACAGTTGATTACCTGAGTACGACTGGAGGAAGGCAGGAGGTCAAGGTTCATGTTGCATCAGTACCACAGATGGATTTTATCAACAAAAATTTTAGCTACAGGTACTAATTTACTTGTGTTGTCATAGATTGCTTTTTTTGAATTTAAATTTATTTTCAATCGAGTGCATCATAGTTAGTTTCAGGGCAATATTTAATGTAATGAAAATGTTTACAGAGTTATGTTTCTGCTCTGATTCAGTATTTAATTGTACGTGTGTTTGACACCAACAAATGCTAGATTATAAAGATTTTGATGTTGGATTTAGATTATGTAGCTTCATATAAGCTATTGAGCATGATTCAGTGATAAATTGTGGAGTTCCTAATTTTAAATCATGTTACCAAGAGCTCCCAGTAGAGAGAGATGTGGAAAACAATATGGTTGGTCTTCCTGAGTTTTTCCTCTCACCACTTAGAGTTTTTAATGAGACTCAATTGTAGCAGAAGTTGTAGCACTGGCACTATCAGTTGCCATCATACTTATTCTGTCATGTATGCTACCCCAGCACCCTTTCCCTCCTTCCTTTCTATCTTTTCAGAAAGTCATATATCCCTGAATATGTAGTTCTTAGCTTTGATATCCTTATGATCATACCTCTGAAATGGCTATAAGATCATGCCTGTTAACCTGTATTTGTGCAGTTAATTCATCTATCTTTTCCCAAATACTACAAGCATTCATGTAAAGAGCCATTATCTTTGCTTTTTTACCATTATTTTCCCTTTTGACCCTATATACTGACCTTATCCAATGTTTGTCGACTCTGTCCCTTCTTTACGACTCTGTCCCTTCTTTACAAGTCTGGGCATCGTTATCCACATAGCTGTCCATGTAATTCTGCCATTTCCTCTTGTTTTGTAAACCTAAACTTCCCCTCTTTCAAACCTGCCTCCACCTCCCCAATTAAGCTAAAGCCCTCTCTACAGCCCTAGTTATTTGATTTGCTGCAACACTGGTCCCAACCTGCTTCAAGTAAAACCCATCCCACTAGATCAATTCCATTTCACGCCAGTACTGGCGCCAGTGCCACATGAACTGGAAGCCATTCTACCCACACCAATCTTTTAGCCACGTTTAACTCCTCAATTCCTTAATAATGGATGATAGCATTTTCCCAATGACAGATGTTAGGCTGACTTACCTATAGTCTCCTGCTTTCTGTTTTCCTCCCTTTATGAGCAGGAGTATCACATTTTGCCAACCCACTGGAACCCTCCAGGAATCTAGTTCTGAAATGTTTTGACTAATGCCTCCACTATTTCTATAGCCACTTCTTTTAAAACTCTTGGTTGCACATCATCAGGTCCTGGCAACTTGTCTGCCTTTAGTGCCATTAGTTTGTCCAATACACTGTCTTTTGTAATAGAGACTACTAGAAGACCTTTCCTCCCATTAGCACCTTGTATCTGTTAACTTGAGGATGATAATGCCCTCCAGCATGATGATCAATGCAAAATATTATTTTAAATTATGTGCCATTCCCTAATCCCTGTTATTTATTCCCCAGTGTCATCACCCAAGGGTTTCACATTTACTTTGGTTACTCTCTATTCTTGCTGTTTGGTTTTATATTTCTTACCAGTTTAGTTTCATAACCCATTTTCTTCCTCATCAGGTTTTCAATCATTTGCTGCTGGTTCTAAAATAAAATTCCAGTCCTCTGGTTTACCACTAGTTTTTGACACTTTGCATGCCTTAGGTTTTGCTTGAATACTTTCCTTGACTGTCTTTCTTAACAAGGGGTTGTTCATCCTTCTCAGTGAGCCCTTTTTTTACCAGAATAAATTTTTGCTGAGCACTATGAAATATCTTCTTAAGTGTTTGCCACTGCTGATTCACTGATTTGCCCCTTAGTCTATTTTATCAGCTTGCTTTAAAGATCTCTTTCTTCATACCAATGTAATTGCCCTTATTTACATTGAGGACAATGGTTTCAGACCTGAGTTGCTGTCCCTCAGAATGCATTTGAAATTGTACCATGTTGTGATTGCCACCCTCTAGAGGATCCTTAACTATGAGATCTCTTCTTAACAAAAACAAAGTTGCTGGAAAAGCTCAGCAGGTCTGGCAGCGTCTGTGGAGGAGAAAACAGCTTTTCCAGCAACTTTGTTTTTGTTGCTGATATACAGCGTCCGCAGTTCTTTTGGTTTTTATTTAGATCTCTTCTTAATCCTATCTCATTGTGCATTACTAGATTTTAAATAGTCAATTCCTGCTGAGTACTGCTCTAAGAGACAATCCCTGATGTACTCTACAGATTTGTCTTCGATGTTACCCTTGTCTGCCTTACTCTGGTTCCAATTTCTGCTGCACTCTTGTATATGTATTTTCTACCTTGTTCTATCATAGTTTGATTGTTGTCCATTTCTTCACCACCCTGTCCCACTGCTGTCTCTCATTTCTTTTTGGATTTTTTAAACTTCCCTTCAATAGAATTGTCTCCCATCCATTAATTAGTTTAAAGACCTATCTAAAACCATTGTTTTACAGTTCACCAGAATACTGATCCCAACATTATTCCACTGAATAAAAACCAAAAGAATGGCGGATGTTGTAAATCAGAAACCAAAACAGAAATTGCTGGAAAAGCTCAGCAGGTCTGGCTGCATCTTTGGAGAGGAATCAGAGTTAACGTTTCTGGTCCGGTGACCCTTCCTCAGAACAGTTCTCAACGGAACAGCTCTCTCTTTCTCTTCTCTGCCACTGCGTTCTCACCCCCAAAAACAGTTGCTAGTGCTCCAAGAATTGAAACCTATTTTGCCCTATGAGTTCTATAATCTTATTTACCCTAGTTCAATTTGCACATAGTTCGGGTAGTAGTCCTGCCATTATTAGATTTGTGATTCTGCTTTTTAAAGTTTTTGTAATAGGCAAGTTATAATGAGCAGTGTTCCTCCGGGATCAGTCCTGGGCCCTCAAAGCCTTGTAATTTATATAAATGACCTAGATAAACAGACCGAAGATATGGTATGTAAGGGGTGACTTGACTGAAACATACAAAATCCTAAGGGTCCTTGACAGGAAGCATGTGGAAAGAATGTTTCCTCTCTTGGAAAATCTTGAACTCTGGATCACTGTTTCAAAGTAAAGGGTTGCCCATTTAAGACTGAGATAAGGAGATTTTTTGAGACTATTGAGAATATTTGGAAGCCTCTTCCTCCAAAGGGTGTGGGAGCAGAATCCTTTAACATTTTTAAGCAAAGGAAGATTCTTGATAAGGAGTTGAAAGATTATCGGGTAAGTGGGAATGTGAAGTAAGCAGGTCAACCATGACCTTATTGAGTGATGGAGTAGGCTTGAGGACCAAGTGGCCTGTTCCTGCTCCTAATTCATACGTTTGTATGTACTGAGATGAGAGGGAGCCAGTGAGTATCCTGCCCAAATACAGATAACTTCGAATGCTGCAGCAGGGTTCAGACTCATGACTGCCTTGTGGAGCAAGGTTTGGGCATTAAAGGTGCATAATTAGTTTTACAAGCTGTCACACAAGTATGAGGGATTAAAGCTGTATTGTTCAAACAATTAAGAGGTTAAATTAGAAGTGCAGTTTTTTCATTGTACGAAGCCTTAGACTGGCCGCATCTGGAATACCATGTCTTAATTTGTTTCTCTCACATTATGAGCGATATCAAGGATCTAGAAAAGGTTCAGAGCCACCATTCAATATAGCACATAATTTAACCACTTGTGGTTAACAAGCAAGGTTATAGAACTAGGACTTTCTAAGTTGAAAATATTAGCTTGTAGGAGATATAATTGAAATCTTTAAAACTGTACAGGGATTAGATGCTGCCCGTGGGGAAATGGAGAACTGATAGGATGTCAGTACAAATTGCGAAGTGGAGATAGGTTCAATGCCAGGAATGAACAACCTCTGTAATAACCTGGTACTGAATACATTAAGTGTGAGTTCACTGCAGACAATTGAACAAGTTCCTGTGAATGACGAGTATCTTGATTATTAGCAAACAGGTAATTAATGGATGTTTGTGATACTAGCTGCTACGAATAATTACCTGGAACTAACTTGATCACCTCCTTTTCACTCTGTCAAGGTGGAATAAATTCATGGGATTAATTGGTCTTTTGCTGTTATTTCTTGTACGTTCAAATGTTCTTGGTCTCTGAATATTACTGGAAATGACTTACTTAAATGATTAGTTCATTGTTTGTGGCTTCAGAATCTAGTTTAATTGCTTTTGATTCTTGTTTACAGAACTTTACCATTTGATGTTTTTGTGAAGCGAGCAGCGGAGTCAGTCCACACAGAATATTTCATATCTAAGGTATTAATTCAACCATTCCTAAAATTTGCAGAAACTCAACATCTCTAATAACACCTGTGGAGAGAGAAACAGAATTAACGTTTCAAGTCCGATATGACTTCAGAACCAAGGTTGGTTATGGCAGTGTCATATCAATGGATTAAAGCTAATTGAAAATTGTTGCCAACTGATGAGGAAGTTACATCTGATGGTAACAAAAACATTTCTAAACTTTTTTAACTTTGGCTACTGCAACTTTGCAAGTTATACTGTGCTTGGAAAAATGAAAAATATTTCAAGCAAACATACTGTTTAGTATTGAACATACCTAATTATATAGAATCATAGAATCCCTGCAGTGCAGATAGAAGCCATTTGGCCCATTGAGTCTGCACCGACACTTGGAAGAATATCCCACCCAAATCTACCCTATCCTGTAACCCCACATTTACCATGGGTAATCCACCAGCTTGCGCAGCCCTAGACACGATGGGGCAATTCAGCATGACCAGTCCACCTAACCTGCACATCTTTGGACTGTGGGAGGAGACCGGAGCACCCAGAGGAAACCGACGCAAACATGGGTGGAACGTGTAAACCCCATACAGACAGTCACCCAAGGCTTGAATTGAACGTTGTGTCCCTGGCACTTTAAGGCAGCAGTATTTTTGGTTTGCATTGGCAAAGACAGAAAAAACATCACAGTAGGAAATTCTATCAACTTGAAAGTCCTAGTAGAGCAGTGAGATACTCTCTTGATATATATATATATATAAACAATATACACTTGTGACTGAATCACGGTTAGCAGAATCATAAGGTACATAATAACCAAGAGAAATGAGATATGTAGAAGATCTGGATGATTAAGTTGGTGGGGGGATGATTAAAATAAAACAAAATTATTCTGTTTGCAAGTTCGTGGAGGGGCATATGGTGTTAACTGTCACGTTAGGTACACAAGAATGAACTTTTGAGTCAGACATGTTTGCTTCAATATGGATAGGGGAAAGAGCAACTTTGTATATGCAGCCCTGTTCTATATCTGTACTTCGCTGATGTCAAAAAGAGATACAAAGTAAGTTATGAGAGGCAGAATCTTGGCAGATGAAGTATAATGTGGCAACCTGTCTACTTTGGCAGGCAAAATTTAAAAAAATATGTAAATGAAGAATTATTGCAGAAAGTGGAGGTACAGAGGAATCTGGGTGTCCAGGTACATGAATCACAAAATTATTTTGCAGGTACAGCAAGGCAAGTAGAATAGTGGCGTTTATTGTAAGACGAATGGAATATAAATTTGGAGAAATTTTACTGCTGATGTACAAGACCTTGGTGAGACCATCTGGAACACTATACAATTTTGGTCTCCATATTTGGAAAAAGGAGATAGCTATTGCTAGAAATAGTTTGGATAAGATTCATTTGACTTATTCCTGGGATGAAAGGCCTATTTATGAAGAAAGTTTGAACATGTTGAGCCTTTACCCATTGGAATTTAGAAAAATATGAAGTGATCTTGTTGAAAGTTAAGATCCTGAAGGGACTTGACAGGGTAGATTCTGAAAGGATGTTCTCCCTTGTCAGAGTGATTATAACTAGAACATAATATTTAAGGAAAGGAGATTCTGCATTTATGATGTCAGTATTCTGTGGATTCTTCCTCCCCAGGATACACTGGAAGCTGGGTCATTGAATTTATTCAAGGCTGAGTTAGATTTTGGGGGTTAGACAGGAAAAAGGAGTTAAGAGCACAACTAGATTAGGTAGCCCAGACTCAAAAGAGCCAAATGACCTAATTCTGCTCCCAATTTCCTATGGTATGTTGTGATGAGTAAGTCTTAATATGTCGTCTTGAACTTAGCTCATGCCTCTTCCACACTGCAAACTTCTACGATTGAAATTGTTATCTATCCTGTCTCCAAATCTTTCTCTGTTCTTGCTCCTGTCCAGAAAATACATGCTGGAATATGAATGATGAATGGGGCAAGAAGTCATTTTTATCTGGGCAGTGAATATTAGTGGACAGTTCTGATGTACTGGTCCATCAGAACCAAACATGAATAGAGATCTACACAAATGCTCTATCAGCAACAATGCTTGTTTCTCCTTGTTTCTCTAGCCCAGTCCCAAAAGATAAAGCCAGTTGAATAGCATCACTACAGAAACCCTGGTTGAGATCTGTTAGAATGAATAGACATTTTAATCTACATGACTCAGCATGTGGTGCTATTATTTTCTGTGCTACAGGAGAACTGTTAAGATTTCAGATTGAAGGATATCAAAATTGCAAAGTAAATACAAATACGAATGACCTTTGCTGATGATTGTATGCAAAAATTATTTAAGTCCTGAAACTTGATCAAAATAATTTATTATACAAATACAAAAGCAATTAGTTTGACTGACTTTTCAAGATATGTCGCAGACAGAAAAATTGCTATTGTCTTACCTTAGAATTTTTATGGCTTGTGTATTAGTTTGTATGGCTGTGATCATCTACATAATTCAATTGATTTAGCGCTTCAACAGACTTGGTTGAAGTTGAAACACATTTGGTTTAACCTCTTTAGGGATTTGCTTTACACCCATTTGCCTCGAAAATAAGCCTGTATATTTTCTAATGTATTTTTGAGAACTCCGCAGAGAGCAATCATTGAAGAGCTAAGACTATAGATGAGTTTATTCCAGAACTTTTGTTAACATTTGATTGTACGACAAGTTTAATGACTCCTGTAACTTGCACAGATTTATGAGCTGAATGCTCTTGTGACTAATTGAATGATTGTTTCTCATTCAGGATGAAAAATATTATTTAAGATCATTAGGAGTAGACCCACGGAAGGTGAGTGAATAGACAGTGAAGTGTTTCACAATCTACAGCTCCCGAACCACTACCTTTGCTTATTTTATTTATAGTTTTCTCTTTTGCTGTCATGAAGTCATGTTTGGTTCCATTCAATGGGCTCTGGTATCTATTAATATCTCACACAAGTGCTCATGCTGTCAACTGACACATCCAGTGGTTTGAGGTTATTTATCTATTAATTAACAGCATCATCATCAGGTCTGATCCCATCCTTACTGACTTCCATTCATGGAGAATATCAAACCAATGTCATTGAATAGGGTGCAGTGCTGACTTTATCCCTCTGGGAGCAGGTGTGGAATCCGTACCGTCACCCAGCTGTGAGCCATTTACCACATAGGCCATGGCTACAGCTGTGACCTTCTGAGTCAGTATATTCATTGAGTTGGCAGGGCAATTTTTACGAAAGGACCACAACTAAATAACTGCTGGTAGTTAGAAATCACTTATGTTATTTACTTTTGACCGTATCCTGTTAAATAGACTCGTTGTACAGTTGTTTGTAGTAAGCCTTCTGCACACTGCAGATAATTTAGCATTTCTTTGAATCCATATCAAATGCAGTAATTAAACAATACAATTAGCAAGCTCTCAAATATCACAGGTAATTAATCTGCTGTTGTTTAAAGATGCATGAGCACAAAGGAAATACAGAAATATGGACTTCAGGTCTCACATTTAATATTATTAATAATACACTTCATAACAGGGAACTTTGTAATTATAGGACATTTGAAAACAACAATTTCATCACAAACTCTAGTTTATTGCAAAACTTTAATATGCTATATATTAGTGCAGCAACTTGAGTTCATATTTTAAAAATTACTTTAGTCACTTGTAAAATTATATATGTGATACTTCAGGAATTATAAATGATCTAATAACCATGATGCTAGAGCCCTTGCTGATTTTTCACTTTTTAAAGTTATTTAATTAATTTTAGTTTGGAGCTGTGAACTGAAAATGACTTTTGGACTGTGGGTAGCAGCTAGTGTTAAAAGGCAAACAGACCAACATGCTTTGATTTATTTGTGAGGGCAGGCCTGGAAGTTAAATGTGGGTTGGTTCCTGATCAAAAGGCTTTCAGACACTTCATCACCAGGGAAGAGCATTTTATTTAAACAGGTAACAAGGTCATTACCTGGGATTTGATACCAGCAAGTCTAGAAAAGACTTTATGCTCAAGCAGATGGCAAATGTTGAATGGTAACTGGGATCTTGTGGAGGAGCAGTCTGTCAATGAGTGGTCAGTGTTGGAATTAGTTTTTGGACTGTTTTTCAATGGAAAAAGAAACCTGACTATTGATGCTACAACATGAACATTCTAAAGCTCCCTGCCTAACCTCCCATTACCTCTGGAAGCTCTAAGAAGGGAAAATTAAGTAATCAGTATTGCTGCCTTTGTCTGAGTGAACTGTAAAGGTGACTTTGATCAACATCTTCAGAAAATCAATCAAGGAATGATCATCTGTGCCTGTAGAACAACACATCATGAAAACCACTTAAGTAATCTGGCCAGTTTTGTTATTTTCTTTTAGATATCTCTTAACTATGTTTGTTTGTTTGTTTGTCTCTTGTGTGAATAGGGCTGTAAATAAAGGCTATTGAGCTTAAAGCACATGCCAGTTAGATTACTTTGTTATTTAATTTTTGCTCTGCTAAGGTTATGAAATTGTTACCAAATCACTGGGTCTTTCATTTAAGATAGAACCAGACCCTGAAATTGATTATTCACAGAGTCTGGGTTTGGTTGTACAGTAGTCTAGTTGAGAACTATTAAGGTCAATTTTGATGGTTTTTGAAGGTCTTAATTTTATTACATTGCAAATACAGAGATAGGAATGCTGATTTGGTTTGGCTGTCTGTCTGTATCGCAACAAGAAAAATGAAGTCATTTTTACAAGTGGCTCAATAAAAATTGAAGTATGTATTTCTGTGGAAAAAGAATATCTAAACTTTGATCTATGGTAAAAGTTGCATCCTAGAATATATTTATATGAAACAGCAATTCATTTGACCTGACTGACATTTTAGTAGGCTAAAAAAAACTATTCCTGTAAAATGTAAACTTTCAATGGCCTACATCTTCATTCATTTTACTGAAAATTTGTGTTTTTTTGAATCAGTGGGCTTGGTGTTGAGGAACCCTGAATGGTTTTAAACCTGTGGTCACAAGAATCCTCAATTAAGCTCTGGTGAAGATCACTGTAATATGTAAATTCTCTATGTAAGTTGAAATGATCAAGTAAAATTTACAAAAATTGGGGGAGGAGAAATTACAATAAGCAATGTTACCTTGTGAACATTTAACAGCTTGGATTGGATTTCCCTCTCCTACATTGATTTCAGTCTTGACTTTAAAATTTTTGTCCTTGTTTTCAAATCCTTGCAGGCCTCACTCCCTATCTCAGTTGAGTCCTTCAGCCCCTGAAATAGCTGAGCTTCCTTAATTCATACCTCTTGTGCTACTTCAATTTTAATTGATCCACCATTGGTAACTGCAGATGCTGAGGCCCACAGCTCTGGAATTCCCTCTGTCTACCTCCCCATCTTCCTTTATCCTCTTCTAAGACACATCCTAAAATCTACCTCTTTAACTAAGCATTTGATCATCTCCTTATAAGGCTCAGTGATCCCTTTGTTTTATCATTCTCCTGTGAAGCCTTTTAGAGCATTTTATTATATCGAAGGCACTATAGAAGTACTAGATAACACAGTGTGGAGCTGGAGGAACATAGCAGGCCACAGCAGAAATTTTTTTGAAGAAGGGTCCCGACCCGAAAGGTCAGCTTTTCTGCTCCTCTGATGCTGCCTGGCCTGCTGTGTTCCTCCAGCTCCACACTGTGTTATCTCTGACTCCAGCATCGGCAGTTCTTACTGTCTGTATAGAAGTACTAGTTGTTTTATCAGGAATCAGTTTTTCTAATACTTTAACAAAGATGTCAAAGGCTCATGTAAATTGTTCTCATTTACAAAGGGTGTGAATCTAGTCAAAATAAAAAGATTAATGTTGCTGTCAAAGTAACAGAGAATAATTTATTGAGTGTTAAATCGGACAACTGTCACAGGATTTTCAGGTTTTGATACAATTCAGTTGATTTCTAATCCTACATACTTCCACTACACCTGCAAGTTTGGAATGGTATAATAACGACATTTGTATACATTATCAAATTCCAATGCTATATCATTTCCTAAGGTAGCCATTTTATACAAAGCTAGTTCTATTAGTTTTTGGATGAAAGAAGACCTGATTACATCTTTGTTGATTTAAAAACAGGATGTAGCAGATATCAGAAAACAATTCCCATCTCTGGCTGAGGACATCAATATCCCGGAGTTTTTTGAGAAGGATCAGTTTTTCTCCAGTGTTTTTCGAATCAGCTCACCGGGCCTGCAGCTCTGGACTCATTATGATGTATGTAGCATGACCAATATACCCAACATAATGAATAATATAGTGTGTTTTTGCAGTAGATATTCATTTGTCTGACAGTTGAACGAGCATGTGTTCATGCAGTGAATATGTTGATGGACTGTATGAATTTGTATTATTCTACAAGCGTGTTAAAGATTTCCTAGGTTAAGGCTGTTTCCGTATTTGAAACCATGTGGTTAGCTAGCTAAATAATACCTACATGATATAGATTTTCAAAACAAGTGTTTAATCTAAACTTAAGTTATATGTTACCTCACCTGCTTTAATATCTGACTGTTAGGCATGCAAGATAGCTTAATATCACCTCAGCTGAAGGCAGAATTTTTATTTCCATCATAACCTTACGTTCTGAAAGTCACAAAGCACTTCACAACCAAAATACTTTTGTAATGTAGACAAAAGCAAGAACCAGCCTGCACACAGCTAGGTCCCACACAGCAATGAGAAAAATTTCCACAGTAGTTCTGAAACATTGGGGCCACAGTTCCCTGGAGGGTCATAGGGACTTCCCAGAGGCTTCATGAAATAAGCAAGTGAGCAGCAGATGTCCCTGGTGCTGTGAGACAGCAATGCTAACAACTGAGCTACCATGCCACCCACTAAGTGCTCAGGAAATGGGACTTAAACCTTCTAACTGAAGGAGAATGCAGATCAAAAATAAAGTAGAATTTTCTTTACTCCAAGAGTAGTGCATTCAATGAATTATGTACCCCAGAATTAAAAAAGCATGGAATAAGTTAATTTTTTAAAAACTCTTTACGATCTCATAAAGTGAGGCCTTGTGACTTTGAAATTGCCAACAAGATAAAAGGGATGTAGATTGCAATCCCAGGTGGCTGTGAAAGCTCAGTCGTGGAGTATTTTTAGAGAGTAACAGATTTCTAAATACCAGTGACCAAAAGGGTCATAGGGATATTGTGGGAAAAAGCACTGAATTGGTTGATTAGCCATGATAGTATTGAATGGCAGCGCTGAATGGCTTATTCCTGTTCCTACCTAATAGTGCTGCATGTTTGATCAAATTGAGGTGAGGGTGAAATGCTTTGACAAATGCAATTCTGAGACATTAAAAAAATGTATAAAGTATTTGAGCCATCTCCTGGAAGACCCAGCACAGTAGTTTCATTCTAACATAGCCAGTGTCCCAAATAAGCTGAATCAGTGGCCGCAGGTCTAAAAGAGGATCGAACTTACAACTTGAATAATAGGTCAGTCTGAGCCAGGAAATGACTATTTATCTTGAAGCATCCCTGGATTTTCCTGGCTTAAGTAATTGTTGATAGCAGCTGAGAGAGTGAAAGTGACTTCTACTCAGTCTCAAACGCCATATCTCCTCTGTGTGTTTGCACAATACAGTAGTCCCATCCTTCTAACAGAATTTTATAAAATAAACTGCATGTGACAAAGATAAAAGAGCCTAAGCAGTTTACCTTGAAAGTATTTTCCTGTACAACATTACTCCCTACTAATGCATACTCATTACTGAATATTATTGTATATATACTGAATATATCAGATTCCTTGCTTAATGATGCTGTTAAAGGTAGGAAACCAGTAACAAGAAATGGATGAGTCATGGTGCCCTTTCTAGTGCATCTATCATATTCAGCTGACCACGTCATATAGCTGTAAACCCACCTTGGGTTTAACAGGTTTAACACTCATCATGCTTTATATTATTAAAGAAGCATAAAATAAATTAAGTTAAATAACCTTTATAACCTCATAAAATGAGGCTTTTTTAACTTTGAAATTGCAAACAGGATTAAAGGGATGTAGATTTCAGATATAAAAATTGCTGTGATCAAAGAAAAATGTCGACCTTGTGATTCAGCTGTTGTTTCTGGCTGTTGGCTATAAAACACCTCTGTTATTAATACTATTCTGTGGACACACTAAGAGTTCATAAAATACATGTTCATAAAATGCATTGAAATAACGTATAAGCTTGTTTATGAAACAAGTAATTCAGTAAAACCGGCTTTGGGCTTATGAAAAAGGACTGTGTGGAACTGTTGAAAACTCAAGTAATTCCCATATATTTCAGGTTACTGCTGCCGCCAGAGAAAATTGGATGTTATGTGAATTGCCAGTAGTTCCACATGGTCCTTTGGCCTTGCTGATGGGAGACATCAATGCCTGGACAAAGTTACAATCTGAAATAGTCAGGTCATGTGGAGTACTTTCATAAAGCAGCATTAGTCCCACTGGATGACTTTTTGCTAATTTAGTAATATGTGGCTACATAATAATGCAGCAAAATCAGATTGAATCGAATTCAGATCATCCAAAATTCCAGTTGTTGAAGTTGTCGGCCATTCCACCAGCAGAATAGCAAATTCAGTAAGATGCTGTTCGTGATAAATTTAAGTTCTGGACTGGTAACTCTGGATCGTCTGAGCTCTTGTCATGTGACCATCCCAAACAGTCAGATCTGAGTTAAGTAACGTAGGACCGTGAAATCACTGAGTTCTTGGAACACCACCATTTGATATCAAGAACTCCTTGTGAAAGAATGTCCAAAGCCTGAAGAATGGCTATTTGCTGTTTTGCTGCATTTTTATTTGGAACGTTTTTTGACATGAAACATGTTTGTAAAGAAGTCAGGTTACATAGAAGCCCCTTCAGTTAATTCATAGCTGCACTTATGTGTTAATGCTCATTTAAAATCGAATTATGAACATGAATATTTGTCAGATCTCCAGCATTTTGACTCGTCTCAATTTTTCAGTAATATTAGCAAAATGATCGTGTTAGGATTCAGATGTCTGTTGCCTGAAGTCTGTTGCTCTGGCAAGTTATCAGTTGTGGTATGAATTGACTGGTATCAGTGAAACAGGTACTCCAGTGTCTGTATGAATGAAGGTTCAAGAAGAAAATCATTTTGTGTGCATTTTAAGGAGGGCAAACAAGTTTTTACTCCTGAGAGAGAAGAAGGAGATATAGCAGACTTAACAGTTTTCCCTAAACCATGGACTCTTCGGCAGACTTTCCTTCCTGATTTGGTGAAACTGTAGATGCCAAGATCCACATTTTACAAATCTTGGCACAAAAAGCAATGGTTTTCCAGGCTGCAGCAAATCTAGTCTTAGTGAGAGATGTACCAACCTGCAGATTTTTGGAGGACGATACTTAAATAAGTTGGAATCTAGAGGTTTCTCATTTGTGCAGGGCTGGCTAATCCAATTAGAAATCAGAAATCCAATTGGAATGTAACAGGGGAATATTTGGAGTGGAAAATCAATTAAGGCTCCCATTCCTGCAAAGAAAGTATAAATATGTGGAGACTTGAACCATTCTTGGGTATGATGGTCCCGTGGTCAAATAGTTTGCCAGTACTTACTCGCTAGACTGTCATAGTTTGGTGAAATTCTAGTGAATTTCTGACAACAAAGTGCTGCCTTTCACTCAATACATTAAAAGGAAGGGGAGAAAACTGGCAAAAAAAAAATAGGGAAAGAATTAGCAGAGCAGTATTTAGGTGTGGTTATGTATAAACAGTATAATGTTATTTTCAGTTTGGATAATGTCTGTCATTTATAATTTTGGTACTGGAGTTCCTAACTAGTTCCATTGTGAATTCATTTGTTCGAAGGATAATTGTGCAGCTGCATTAACTATCATTACATTTGCTTCAGTATTGTACCAGGGCTCTCTTGGGACAATGATAATGTCCTTGTCCCTGAGCCAGGAGGCCTGAATTCAAGTCCCACCTGTTTAGAAGCGTGTCTTAACATCTCTCAACAAGTTGATTAAAAAATATCTTCAGCGTTGTATCAGCATCGTTTGGTGGCTGACTTCCTCCCCTCCCAGTTCAGGTTCTAGTCACTGCTTGTTAAATGTCAGATATAGCTACCTGCGCTTGTAGCTGTCTTCCCAAACAAACCTGCATGTTTGATTATTCCTCTGCCTATTTCTTTAACCAGAATTGCTGCTTGAAAATCTTCAGCAGTGACATCACAGGGAACATCTTCTAATTTCTGACTTCTCAGCTGCATTTGCTGAACATTGTCTTCATTTCTCAGCAGATCTTTGGGTGATCATCGTATCCTAGTTTGTTAGAGAATGGCTTTTCTTTTCATTTTAAAAGCAGGAAAAGTCACAGCAAAATACAGCCTCCAAGATACTGTGAAAATCATTCTCCACGAATACTAAATATACAATTTATCTAGAAACTCAGTGGACAGAACCTTCTTGAAGCTGCAGTCACAATGAAATAAAACTGAATCTCTATCTTCCTAAAATAATTATTTACAATGTGCTGTTATCTGCTGTAGGTTATGGATAACCTTTTGATCCAAATAACAGGCAGGAAGCGAGTGATACTCTTCAGTCCTCAGGATGCACCTTATTTGTACCTAACAGGTAAGACATGTAGTAAGACATTAAAAGGAATACATTCTTGCTCTCTGTTTGGAAGAGTTCCTGGCTCTGTGCACCCAACCTTTAAAAGTGGCTGCCAGATATCAGATTTTCAGTCAGAGGGTAAAGTTTAGATTAGAAATCAGGGTGGATGACCTTAAAAGAACAGAGGACTGCCAGGTATTTAAGTGGGACGGGCAGAAAGCCTATGTCAGGACCTGGCACTATGCCTAAAAATTAAAACAACAATAGAAAACATGAAACATTCCTCCAACCCTAACTCCCCTAATTCTCGCTCAAACCCCATGCACAGCTATGCCCCTCATACCCTCCATGTCAACCCAAACCCCCAAATTAGTTTCAAGTCATGGTAACCTGTGCCATCCACTGTCCTTTGCCCTTATATGTACCATGCCAACTCCCCTAGTATCCACCATGTTATTGGATAGTTATAGATAAAGATTGGACTGGTCCTTGGGTGAAAATGCTAAAGTGGGGGAAGGCTAACGGCAACAGTATTATGCGGGAACTGGAGAAATTAGACTGAGGGCAGCTGTTTGAGGGTAAATCCACACTTGACATGTTGGGTCAGTTGACCAGAGTTCAGGACCAGCATATTCTTACGAGGATGAAAGATAAGGATGGCAAGATTCTGGAACTTTGGATGATGAGAAAGAAAAAGGAAATATATTTAAAGTTTAAGAAACAAAAATCAGAAAAGGCTCATGGGGAATTTAAAGAAATCAGGAAGAATCTCATCAGGAGAGCTAAAAGGGGCCATTAAATGTCCTTAGCAAGGAGGACTAGGTAGAAGCCCAAGGCATTTTATACATCTATTAGGAGCAAGAGATTAGGTATGAAAAGGGTAGGTCCGCTCAAAGACAAGAGTCAAGAGTATTTTTTTCCCCAGGATGGAAATGTCAAATACTAGGGGGCATAGGTGAGAGGGAAAAAGTTTAAAGGAGATGTGCAAGGCAACTTTTGTACAAAGAGGGTAGCAGATACTTAGAATGTGCCGCCAGGGAAGGTGGTTGAAGCAGAGATATTAGCAACGTTTAAGGGGCATTTAGACAGACAGACAAAAGGGGCAGAGAAGAGAGGGATACAGATGATGTGCAGGCAGAAGGGACTAGTTTAGAATGACATCGTGAATGGTGTAGACGTGGTGGATGAAGGGCCTGTTCCTGTGCTGTACGGTTCTATGGTCTGTGTGCAGACCTCAGTACAAATTACGTTTTAAACGCCTGTTGTCAACATAATTATATTGAAAGAAAATCTCATTTGTTTGTAAATGACCAGCTGCATTTTTTCTCTTTATGGCCTTATGATAAAAAAATATCGCATTCAAATGTACAATCCTTTATTTCAGGCATTGAAATTCAAAGCACCACATCAAAGAATGTGTTATCACTTGTAACTGTCAGTGAAACTGAGAAATTGCAGGCAGTCTACTGTGATAAAAGATGGTTATGAAATCAGTGAAGCAGCAGTAATCCAGTAAGGAAGACTTCCAGCTTCTGTCAGACAGAGTGAATTAACAAGCAACTGTTTTATCTAACATTTCAGGTTTTTTTTGGAGATTTAAAGAGTAGGACATTTAATTAACTTGATAGTTCCTTTTCACAGGTCTTCCTGACAGTTTTTACAGCTCCCTTAGACTGATCCTGTTGAAACTTTTGACAATACCCTTTCACAGGTCCTGTTAACAGGTGCTTCAGACATTTTGACGGGTTTATGCACAGTTTACGTACATTTATGAGTACTTTTAACAATTCCAAAGGGCATCAGACTGACCCCAAAGGGCACCTAAGGGTGACCTCCACCAAAGAGTACTACCTCTTCTCTTCTCCTCCTCTGCCTCCTCTCTCACTCCACTCCAACTCGCAAAAGTATCCAGATCAACGGGCTATCCAAACAAATGCCAAAGTTCAGAACTACCATTATTCAGCACACTCGGCATTTCACACTCCTGGGCTACCATAATCCCATTTCCATGAAAACAGCTGATGATGTAAATTGTCCACTGGTGCTGTGAATTCGGCATGTACAAATCCAACCAGACCCCCACAAGAATATGGAGAGCCATGCTCACGGTGGGATCTCTGAATTCCAGCTCATCCTTGACGGTAAACTGGACCACTCTATTTTCTCAGATCTTGCAGGGGCTGTTAAAAACTCATCCTAAGTTAAGTATCATCAAGTGTAATTTACATATCTTGCCAGAACTAGAAAGTTTAATGATTGTAGCTGATGCTGTAAGGGATAATTAGTTCCATCTGCTTAACATGCATGATTTTTGTTGAATATTCATGTAAAAGTCGAACACCAGTTATAAGAACAAAGTGCTTGTCAAGTGTTTTCAATTCACTGTTACTGAGACAGCTGTTCTCATTCTTTAATTTTTTAAAAAAATTGCTCTAATTTTCACTGCCATGCAATGACAGTAATTGATAATGATCAATATAAAGTTGTGTATTCTTATATAATTAGAATCTACTAAGAGGAGCTTATCCTCCTATAAATACAGTTACATCATCACATAATCCCCTTCGTTTGCAATGAAGCAAATTTGATCAGAAGAAATATTTCTGATAAAATATTTACCCTAAGTGGATTTTGTTTGGGAATCTAATTCACCTGCTAGCCCTAAAAGATGCATTCAGTATCTTTTTATACCATGTGAAGACAGAACCTATCCTCTGTACTGGTTTTACTCCTAATGCATTGTTTCTGTTTTTTTCTCTGTTCACTCCTCCAAATCTAACTTATTCAGCTACTTTTGTTCAGGATATGTGTCTTTTGGATATCAAGGATACTATAGAGAATCATACAGAGGATGGCATCTTTTTTTTTCCCCAAAACATTTTGAATTCAAAGTGTATTGCTATAATTTGGGGAATTATTTGACTGGCTCAGTTTCTGACTTCTTCTAAAACTTATTTGCTGAATCTCTAGTCCACAAAGATCTGTGCTGGGGCATCAGTTATTCACTTTTTTTAATTAATGACTTGGGTAACCCAGTAACATATCACAGCATGAGTAAGTGGTATGAATGCATAAAATTACAAAGAAATGTTAATGCATTGAAAGAGTGAACAAGACTATTGCAGGTGGATTTCAACACAGATATGGATGAGGTCATCTATTTTGCACTAGAAAAGACAGATTCGAGTACCTTTAAATGATGAAAAGTTAGGAAAGGTGGTAGTTAAAAACAATTTAGGAATCCATGTACACAGTTCATTAACATGTAACAGGTACAAAACTGAAATTACAAAGGCTAATGGAACGTTAAACTTTATAACTAGGCTCAGCTAAGTGTAGAATATAAAGGAAGGTGATGTTTTGTTGCATCTACATAAAGCACGAGGAGAACTGTACACAGCATCACATCTTTGAAACAATAAGTTGGCCTTTGGAGGGTAATGCAGATTCATCAACATGTTATCGGACTCTAAGGGCTAGGTTATTTGAAGACATTATGTCAACTATGCTCGTATGCACGAGAATATTGTACAGTTGAGGAATGATTTTGTCTAGGATTTTGAAAGAAAATTATAGGGTAAGTAGAGAGGAGCTTTTCTCCCCCCAGCGGTGGGGGAGTATTTAGGTCAATGGGACCTTAAAGTCCAAGCCAGGCCACTGGGAAGTGAATTTAAGAAACACTTTATCACACAAAGAGTAATATATTTTGAGCTCTTTCCCATAAAATGCATTGGATGTCGGCTAAATATGAATTTTAAATCTGAGATCAACGGACCTTTGCTTGGCAAGAGTATTAAAGAATATGGAGCAAAGGCAGACAGATATGTGGAGTTAGGAGGCAGACATGGTGAAACAGGCATTAAATGCAGAATGGCCAAGTTCTTTTGGTCATTTTTTTTAAGCTATTGTTGTTTATTAACAGTAACAATTGGCAATGGTGATAAAATCATTGCATAACTTTATCAGGACTTTGTCTCTTTGACTCAGTGGAAGCATTTTTAATGAAATGAACATGGCAAAAGAATGAGTAGCAAAAGAAAGGGAAATAGGAATACATTTCTTACAAGCATTGAATGTTAGAGCCAATAAGATCATTATTTAAAGCAGGCCAAAAGATATCCCAGCAATCTAAAAAAATCACAAATGCAATCTGGTAAATACCATTGAGTACATAGACAAGAAGTATTTCCCTCTTAAGGATTTCCTAACCCACATTCATTTATGCAACTTGCTGCTTTCACAATTGATATGTGATGCACCAGTAATGATATCTATACAGTTCTGATATTATTTCCTGTTTCAGTGGTAAAATGTACAATCTATGAGATCAAAATCAATCCATGCGTAGACTGAAATTTTAAAATGTTAAAAATTCCTCAAAATAAATAATTGATTTTTAAATTGATTAATTGATTGTTATAGTTTAATAATACACTGCCATCATCACTTTGTTTCCTAATTTTGCACAGGGGATAAGTCTGAGGTCTTGGATGTGGACAATCCTGATCTAAGAAAATATCCACAATTTGCCAAAGCTCAGTGCTATGAATGTCAATTAGATCCAGGAGATGTGCTTTTCATTCCAGGTATTTTGTCTCAAAATCAACTACCACAACATTAGTGAATCCTTCTATCATTATTATTAACAGTAGATGATAGGAAGCATTGTACTGCTGTTAAAATTAACTAAATAATGAAGATGTCACTCTTGTCTCTGATTCAAAAGATCAATGGGTTCAGCTCATTCCAGAGGCTTGGGCATCCAGGATTACATTAGACTACAGGATTGTTTGAGGAGCTGTCAGAAATGCTGTCATTCAGGTCAGGTATTAAGCTGAGGTCACATCTGCTCCCATAATTGGATGTAAAGAATCCTATGGCAATATTCGAAAAGATCAAGGAAATTGGCTAATTATCATGCCCAATGATTATTCCTAACTAACACAAATAAACATATATTGTCTGATCATGTCCTTGCTATCTGCAAATTGGCAGCGACATCTTCCTACACTGCAGCATGACAACACTTCAAACTAGCATCCATCTTTTAGAGGATATTGTCTTGTAAACATGTTACACTAAATCAGGTCACATGGTGCCATTCGGTCCTATCTCTGAACACTTTCACTGACACAGGTGGAAAATTTCAGAACCTTTGGCCACCATTTTATTTAAACTTTAAATAGGTTACTCATATTTTTAACATACTGCATTTTAACATACTGCATTTCTTCATTTGCAAAAATCTGTTAGCCTTTACGTTGTTTTCTCTCATATCAAGTAAAAGAACCTATTTTCTCAGTTCTGTATGAAAGAATCTGTCTCCCATTTATCAAATCTAACATTGCCCGTCAAGTAACTGGCTAATTCAGAGCTTCTGAACCAAACTCTTGGATTAAGAAATAACAGTTCCAAAGAAGAGTCATATCAGACTCAAAACATTAACTCTCCACAGAGAAAACATGAAAAACAAGGCTTTAGAGGACATTTTATTTTACATTATAGTGTTTGCTACTTTAGAAAAGTACTGCAATGCACAATTACACCATGCTGGGCAATATAAGGGTCAACGTACCTTTGCAGGACTAATTCCAATGATGCATCACTGCATTAAAATCCCACCTATATTACAACATAGCACTGGAATAATGACATTTAAAAGTGTCAAAACATCTCACAGTTACCTTTCAGAATGTTCCTGATTCCACAGCAGGCTTTACATTTTCTTTATGAACTCTCAAACCTGATGTGCTTTTAATAGGTTTCCAAATGGGTTTCTGCCCCACCAGATAAAAGTTTCCAAGACGAAATCTGATTTTCATCCCCACTTAAAATAGGGATCCCAAACTCAATGGTGGCAGCTGAGCCTTTTAGACACTAGGCAGTTCTGAATGCAAAAGAATACTGGTGAGAAACAGTGCAGGTCAAAGAACGAAGAAATTCCTCCATTTAAAAAATTGTTGCCATTCACCAACTGAAACACACCTTCACCCCTAGACAATAATTGGATTTCAGAAGTTGGAACAGACCTAATTGTATTCAGATTTCATGGAAACATGAATTCCTGTACATGTGAGCAGGAGTAGGGTTCTTGTGGTGCGTCCGTAGTCTCCCTACCTCTGAGGCCAGATTCAAGTCACATTTGTTCCAGAGCTGTGTAATAACATCTCTGAACAGGTTGATTTTTTTAAAAATGCAAGCAGAAGTAGGCTGTTCAGCCCTTTGAGCCTGCTTTTTCAGTCAATATGATCATGGCTAATTATCCAACTCGGTACCATGTTCCTGCTTCCTCCCCATATCCATTGATCTTTTTAGTCTTCAAGCCATATTTACATCTTTCTTGAAAGTCGTCAGTGATCGGCCTAAACAGTTTTCTGTGGCAGATAATTCCCCAGGCTCACTGCTCTCTGGGTGAAGAAATTCCTCCTTATTTCTGTCCTAAAACACCTATCCTTTATCCTTAGACTGTCAACCCTGATTCTAAACTCTGTGATCATCAGGAACATTCTTCCTGGATCTGCCCTGTCTAATCTTATTTTCCAGTTTCAATGAGATCTCCCCTCATTCTTCTAAACTTTAGTGAATATAGTCCTAGCCAATCCAGTGTCTCCTAGTATATCAGTCCCAACATCCCAGGAATCAGTCTGGTAAACTTTTGTTGCACTCCCTCAATAGCTAGAACATCCTTTCTGAGATAAGGAGACCAATACTACACAATACTCCAGATATGGTCTTAACAATGCCCTGTACAGTTGCAGCATAACATTCCTACTGCTGTATGTGAATCCTCTCGCTATGAAGGCCAACATACCACTTACCTTCCACAAATTCACAATGCAGGTGCCCATTTTATCAGGCACATATAAGAGAACTTCGTTTATATTTGTTGTTGTCTGACAAAACAGGACCTTACTGCATTTTATAATGGTTATATAACTGAACCAATACATACCACTTTAATGATTATCTTAAAAAGAATTTAATATTGGGTATTAATTTGATTCACAGTTCATAACTTATACTGATTTAATATGCTTTCATGTGAATTGTTCTTTGTAATTTTCATGTAAATAATCATCTGAATTACTGATTGCATTTCTCTCTCAGCACTGTGGTTTCATAACACTATTGCGAAAGAGTTTGGAGTGGGAGTGAATGTATTTTGGAAACACCTTCCTGTAAACTGCTATGATAAAACAGACACCTATGGAAACAAGGACCCTGTGGCAGCCTCAAGAGCTATGCAGATTTTAGACCGAGCCTTAAAAACACTGGAAGAGCTTCCTGATGAATACAGAGACTTCTATGCAAGGCGAATGGTTTTACGAATTCAAAGTAAATCATACAGCAATCATTATAAATAGAATATAGAAATAAATAAGTTTAGCGTATTTATTTGGCAGTGTAACAATTTATAATAAAAATAGTTTTTGTATTTTGAAAATAGTTTCTAATTACTACAAGTTGCTAATTTAAAGTTATGATGAGTAACTACATTAGCAATAACCAGTTATAACCTTCATACATAACTGTTTAGTTTGCAGTTTGATACTTAAAGGATTTATTGCCCTAACATTCATTTTCCAAAGCACCACTGAAATACAAAATACATCAAGCAGTGTTTTCATTTGGCATCTAAATACCTTACATAATCGTTATGGCAGTAAAGTCCATGGTGTACATATCAAATGGTGTAAAAAATATCAGATTTATTATCTTGTGTAAATAACTGGCCAGTTCTTACATGCAAAATTATATTTCAAATTGAGAATATTTATATTAGAACATCTCTCTAGTATATTTAACCAAATACTGGGATAATATTTCTACAAATGTATTAAGATCTCTCTCTCTCAATATATATTTCCAAAGGTATAGAAAATAAGCAGTTTTAAAACATTGATGGTGAACCTGGCTTGCTCTTTAGTAATGTCCAAAAGAGATGTTTCTAAAAGGTGAGAATTCTTTCTGTAAAATGAACTTGTAATTTATGCATAAGACATAATGAGACAGTAAACTGTCATACCTAACATTAAAGGAAGATGGTTGCAATTATTGTGACCAATCACTTCCTCTGTTAGTTTTCCTTTAGTGGCTGGCAATAGAAGGTGAAATCATGTAAACCTCACCTGGATCCATTTTATCTATTCAGCCAGAGCCAATTGTTCCCCTGCAGTGTCTTCTTGCCTAACTTTTATGCTACTATCTCTGGCATACCCCAAGCATCTGTGCACGGTGTTTCCTACCTGTGACCATTGTATATGCCATACTTCAATTGCATTGTCTGCAAACAGATTCCGCATTGATGACACACAACTTTACCTCTGTCTTGACCCTGCCTGGTCCCCCTCATGTATATGTTTTAGCCCATTTATCCGATTTCCATGAATAGACAACTTGTCCTGTTAAACGTGGGAGAGAGGAGCAACTTGGATCCTCACCACAAACTCTTCACTCTTAGGTCGAAATTCCAGCACTATATTCTCTTTATTGCAAAGAAAACCTACTTTCTTCCATAACATCCAACTCCATCCCACTCTCGAACTGATGTTAAAATCCAATCAGGGGTTCATCCTTTCCTCATCCCTACAATATTTATAATACTACTATTTATAACTCTACTTTCCTGTTATTGTGGCCTCTTACAAACAGACATGTCCATTTGCATCACTGCCCACTGTGCATTCAGTTCTCTGTACTGACAGCAATGCATTTTTCTCCCTAAACTTCTCTGTCCCCCTCTCCTTTAAGATGCTTACCAAAACTCATTTTGTAATTTTTGGTCATCTGTTCTCTACTCTCCCCTTTGACTTGATGTCAGTTTATTGCTGATTCTGCTTTCATGAAGTTTCTCAGGATATTTTACCATGTTAAAATTCTTGTAAAAATATATAATTTTTAAGTGGCTGCTAACAATGTAATTGAAAAACTAATGACAGTTTAAATCTGGTAGCTTCATCTGGTTGTTGACAGAGAATGAAACATACAGATGTACAATATCTGTTTTCCTCACATGTAATATGTAATGTAAATATAGAACACTTGCAAAGAAGGATAATATAAATCAGGGATGTAGGCAATCTGGTCCACAAAATCTGGATAACTTAGTCCTACTTTACAGTTAAAATACACAGTTAGTCATTTGTTATTTTTGAATGTTACACGCTTGAAAATTTGGATTGCGTGGTTCTTAACAGTATTGCTTCTTTCTGGATCATTTCCAAATTTGAATACCTGTCCGTTGGGGTTAGGCATTTCAAAGCCCACTGAATAAAACAGAACATAGATGTAGGTTGGCATTTGACTCAAAAGCTTCAAGGGTTGCAGCTAATCAACACTTCTCATAAAGACAATCCTTCAACAAAATAAACTTTTTGAATTTTTAAACCAAAAAGAATCATGGACCAAGTATATTGGGGATGCTTGGGTCAGAACACAATTTGTATCCGATGCCTTGGACAGAAAGTGCCTTTATTGCCAATGATCAATATATTTGTATGTCAAAGGCTTTTGTACCCTTGACAGTATCTCTCAATTAAATAATTCCAAAAGCGAGCTTTTTGAGTTTTAAAATAAAGGTTATTTATTCTCTTCCACTTACCTTGAAAATAAGGCAACATTTCACTCACTCATCTCTCTCACGTATATTCTTACAGAAAGATTAGATATGCATCAAGGTAATATACTGTAACAGTTATAATTATCTCAGTTTCTTTTGTGGTAGGTCTGTAGCTTCTTTGTTAAATTTGATGCTTTAAATTTGAAGTGAAGGTCTCAATGTGAAGAATTGTCTGTAAACTGAGAGATTTCTTACAGTTGAATTTCCAAGTGGTTGGTTTCCAGTAAACTCTATGTTGGAACAGGTTGTGCGAGTCCTTTCCGTTAGCATTGCCCCATTTTCGAATTGTGCTACTTACTACATTGATTGCTTAGATCACTTACAATTCAATGAATTTAGGTGGAACTCTGCAGAACTGCTTCCAGCTGATGCAAAGGCAGGCAACAAGCTGGCTTTCTCATGTGATTTCCACAAGTTTGAAGACCTTTTATTCCAAAGGCTGGTATGTATTTTGATTCCAATCATCATGTTATTGTTTGACACATTTAGAGTTTGAGGCAGCCAGTCTACTTTTAGACGAGGCAAACCATCATTATAGAATGGAAGGTTAATGGGATCTATTCACATTTGCCTTACACACATTAAATTTCTATATTCATTTTTGTCCAGGATGAAAACAGGGACACGGGTTGCCTGGAATTCTTTAGTTGTTTTGTATTGATCGATCCTTAAACAAGTGGACATACGAATTTCCAGCATAGCCGTAAATGGCCGTATTTAACTAGGTCTTCACGAGAGACAGCATTTTGAGTTTCAGACAGTGCTAAAGGTCATATGATTTGCTGAGACTATTTGAACGGTTTGTATCCAGTTTCATAACATACTGGGTCATGATAAAATACAGGTTCATTGGTGAACTTATTCATTTAGCATGATGGGCTAGCCATAGGGAGGGGAGAGTACATTTAGTGATTGATTGGAGAGTCCTAAAACATGGTTCTGTGCTGCTTTTGGCTGTTAGGTAGTTAATGCTACTGACTGCAAGTATAAACCTGCAAAAAAGGATAATGTAAACTAGGGAAGCTGACCCACTGATTGGAGCGGGGCACAATAGAATTTGGTCAATGAGTCTTTACCCTAGTTTGACTACACACATGCACACCATCCTTAAGATAGAATTGTTATAATCTGTAATACACTGCCTACAATGGCGAACAAAATTTTAATAGCACAAAAAAATTGAAATATACAATGAAAGAGCAGGGCACGTAGTATTTGCTCAGGGACAGGCATGCTGCATGAAAGCTCACCTTTTACCATTACCTCCTTCAATTCTGCCACTTTTCTCGTATTGGATGTGAAGAAGTTTCCTCCAGTTAAATATTAGCAAGACTAGAGCCATTGTCTTTGTTCCCTGATACAAATGTATTTTTCCAGCTACAAACTCAGATTTCTAACCATTAACTCACCCCTTCTCCCTAGCAATGGTCTGAGATTGAACCAGAACGATTGCAACCTTCTGTGAAATTTGAGACTGAGAAGAGATTCTGGCCATACCTTTACACCATTACTAAGATTGACTATTTTCAGATCAGTAGCAGGACTTGACCCAATTCCTGACAGCTCATCTGCTATTGAAATTCTAATACACATCTTTGGAACAGTCACATTTAGAAGTTACAATGCACTTGTGGCTGACTTCCCACATTCTGTACTCTGTAAACTTGAGGACACCCAAAGCTTCTATTGTTAATGCCCTAACTTGCTTCAAGTTCCTTCACCCATCATCCCGTTGTCCTTGCTAATTTATATTGGTTCTCAATAAATTAACACCTTGATTTTTTAACATCCTTGATTTCAAATACTGTCATGGCCTCAAACCCTTTTATTTGAATTTTTCAGCTCCAAAACCATCCACAATATCTGAGTTCTAATTTTGACCTCTTGAGCACCCCTGATACTTAGTGCTCCACCAATGGTTGCTGTAGAAACATAGGAACAACAGTAGGCAATTCAATCCCTCAAGCCTTCTCTACCATTCAGTGTGATCATGGCAGATCATCAGCCTCAATACCTTAATCCGTTCTCTTCCCGTATCCCTGTAGTCATATGAGCTATATCTATCTCCTTGAAAACACAATATTTTGACCTCAATCACTTTCTATGGTAGTGAATTCCACAGATTCACCACCTTTGTGTGAGGAAATTTCTCCTTATCTCAGCCCTGAAAGCTTACCCTTACCCTTAAGCTATGACCCCTGGTTCTGGCCTCCCCCACATTGGGAACATCCTTCCTTCATCTAATAGTCTAGGCCTATTAGAACTTAATAGGTTTCTTGCACACATCTTTCATTCTTCTAAATTAGTGAATACAGTCGTAACCAACTGAACTTCTCTTTATACTTCAGTCCTGCCATTCCAGGAATCAACTTGGTAACTTTGCTGTACTCCCTCTATCGCAAGAACATTCTTCCTCAGGTAAGGAGACTAAAACTACACACACATTCTAGGTGTAGCCTCATCGATGCTCTGTGTAATTGCAGCAAGACATCCTTGTTCTTGTACCTGAATCCTCTTGCTTTAAAGGCCAACATACAGTTTGTCTTCATTAGTTCCTGCTGCAGTTGTGCGCTTACTTTCAGCGACTGGTGCTCAAGGACACTTGGGTCTCAGTGACCATTTAAATCCTTCAAATTACAGCCATTCAAATACTAATCTGCCTTTAACCTCACATTTATCCATATTAAACTACACCTGCCATGTACTTACCACTCAGTTGGTTTGTCCAACTCACACTGCAACATCTCTGTATTCCCCTCATAGTTCACCTGTGTCAACTGCGATTTTGTGACATTACATTTCGTTACTTTACGTAAATCATTAACATATATTGTGAATACCTAGCGGCCTAGTACTTATACTTGTGCCGCCCAACTAGTCACTGCCTGCCATTCAGAAAAAAAATTGTTCCTGCTCTTTGTTTCCTGTCTGCTAACCAATTTTTTTAATCCATCTCAATACACTTAATCCAATCCTATGCAATTTAGTTTTACACATTAATCTCTTATGTGGAACTTTGTCAAAAGCCTTCTGATAGTCCAAATAAACCACAATCATTGGCTCCCTGATAACTCATTACATCCTTGAAGAATTCCAAAAGATTTGTCAAGCATGATTTCCCTTTCATAAATTCATGCTGCGTGTGTCTGTTTCTACCACTGTTCTCAAAGTGCTCTGCTGTTAATTCCTTGATAGTGGACTTCAGCATCTTGCGGACTACCACAATCAGACTCACTAGTCAACGATCCCCTGTTTTCTCTCCACCTCCCTTTTTAAACTGTGGCGTTACATTAGCTATCCTCCAATGTGTAGGAACTGTTCTAGAGTCTATAGAACCTTGGAAGATAACGGCTATTTATGAGACCTTGGGTCTCACCCTGAATATCCGCAAGATGAAGTTCCTCCACCAACCTGCCCTGGCATTGCAGAGCGAATCCCTAATCATCAAGGTCCATGTGGAGGTCTTGTAGGCTATTGGTCACTTCCAATATGTGGAGAGTGTCCTGTCGACCAAAGCAGCTATTGATGAAGAGATCCAGCAAATCATCTCCAGTGTGTTAACGCAGCCTTCGGCCACCTGAGGAAAAAGGTGTTTGAGGACAACAACATCAGATCTTTAGGGGCAGGCAACTATCTAGTGGTGTTATCACTAGACTGTTAACCCATAGACCCAGGTAATGTTCTGTGGACACAAGTTTGAATCCCACCATAACAGATGGTGGAATTTGAATAAAAAACCTGGAATTAAGAGTCGAATGATAAGCATGAATCCATTGCCGATTATCAGGAAAAACCTACCTGGTTCACCAATGCCCTTTAGGGAAGGAAGTCTGCCATCCTTACCTGGTCTAGCCTACATATGATTCCAGACCCACAGCAATGTGATTGACTCTTAACTACCCTGTGGGCAATTAGGGATGGACAATAAATGCTGGTCTAGCTAGTGATGCCCTCATCCCATGAATGAATTTTAAAAAATACTGACATCAAGATCATGGTTCACAGAGCTATAGTGGTTCCTGCACTCCTGTTTGGCCCTGAGATGTAGACTGTGCACGACAGACACCTCAAGGCATTGCAGCAGTACCACCAACGCTACCTGCAAATCCACTGGGAAGACAGATGCAGCATCCTCAAACAGGCCAACATCCCCAGCATTGAGGCACTGACCATTCTTGATTGGATGGGCATGAGACTCCCCCAAGTCGGTGCTCTACTCCCAGCTTGGAAATGGCAGGCAAGTGCCAGGTGGATAGAGGAAATGCATCAGGGATATCCTCAAGGCCTCACTGGCGAAGTGTGGCATTCCTGCCAACAGTTGGGAACCGCTGGCCCAAGACCGTCTAAAGTGGAGGAGGGGTGTCCGGGAGGGCATCGCATACCTCGAGACTTGCCGTTGGGAAAAAACAGAAGCCAGGCGAAAACAATGTAAGGACTGCACTACCACACCAACGCCCCCATTGACTTCTTCCCACGACCACCCTATGCCCCAAGTGTGGCAGAGTCTGTGGAAGCCGCATCGGTCTGTACAGCCAGCTATGCCTTCACCCCGAGAGTGGAAGAGAGTCATTTTCATCAATGTCACCCACAGAAGTACTTTGAGCAGCAAGCCAAGGGATTGTTGCTCTCTCTCTGTCAGCTGCTGTCTCTGGCGCTGTTTAAATCTGCATAAAGGTGTCTCCCATCTGGGCCTCGTAGTTGGTAAACTTGCCAGGCTATATGCCAATAAAAATCCAAGCTCTGCATTAACAGCCGGGTAATTTCCAGCTTGTGAGCCTGGAATCAAATTGCTTTTGTGTCAGTGTCTCAGGTTTGTAATCGAAGCTGTTTATAATGGTAAGGATGTCAAAATCAAATGCGTGCCTTTCCAGAGACTTCATTTTAGCAGACGTTCTACTTGAGTGTAGGTTACAAACCCCGTTAAGGTAGCGTCAGCGTTTTGAATCTCAGTAGTTATTTGACTGGTTAGATTGCTGAGTTAATGCTCCTGCCACATTGCCGAGCTAGCATCTACTCTGTTGTTAACTTGTCGCGTAAACTGCAAACAGAAGGGATCCACGTGTTGGACAGTTTAAGGGC